CACACACACACGCGCGTGCACACACACACACGCACACATACACAAACCCACACCCACACACACAGACACAGACATACACACACACATTCACATACACACTCACATGCACACACACATACACAAACCCACACACACACACACATACACAAACCCACACACACACAGAGTCACACACACACTCATATACACACACACATATGCGCACACACAAACACACACTCACATACCCACACACATACACAAACCCACACACTCACACACACACATACGCGCACACACACACACGCAGACACATATACACACACACGCATACACACATACTCACTCTCATACACACACACAGACACACACACACGCAAACACACACACAAACACACACTCACATACACACTCACACAATCACATACACACACACACATACACAGTCACATATACACACACGCGCACAGACACACACACACAGACACATACACATACTCACATACACACACTCACATACACACAGACAAGTAGACTGACAGACACACACGCAAAGAGACACACACACAATATTTGGACAGCTAATAAAGCCCAGCACTAAGGGAAATAAAGACTGAACTTAACATTTGCTTCACAATGTGTAATATTTATCCCACGTGTCATATCCTAGTGAGGGTGCACAGTAATGTAATGGTTATGTAACTACCAATTGTGTAATTGAAGCAATATGCTGCAGGAATCTGAAATACAAACAGAATGTGCTGAAGAAACTCAGCAGGTCTGACAGTGTGTGTGGAGAGAGAAATAGTTAACAATTTGAGCCATATTCAGAAGAATCATGTCAGACTTGAAACATTAACTCTGCTTTCTCTCCACAGATCCAGCCCAAGCTGCTGAGTTTCTGTAGCAATTTCTGTTTTGATTGAGGAAAGCCAGTGGTCCTAGCTTGAGGATGAGGGTGTTCTCACCAACCATGGCCATTTGAGAATTTTAAGTCAGTTCAAGTAAAATCTGGAAACAGAACACTGGAAAGAAAAGAGGGTTGGGGCTGCACTCTGTCCCAATTCCCCAGCTGGGAGTAGCTGGTCCACACACACAATATCATTCTTTCCCTGTCTCTCCCGCCTAAGTTTATCCAACTTCCCCTTCAATGTATTGACACGAGTTACCTTGACCGTCCCTGTGGGAGTGAGTTACAACAGTCTCCCCACTCTCTATGAGACTGGTTCGTGACTGTCTGATATGATGACTGTGTGGTTTGCTCTGATTTATTAATGGATGCATTTCCCTGAGTCTCCCCTTCAGAACCTTAACAGTCTCTTCTTGGTAATAACACCAGCTCCACTTTTCCAAAGGAAAATAAAACCCCTAATGAGATCCTTTTGTACAGACTTCATGTTATAATTAAGTTAGTGTGCAGGATCCTTTCATTGCATGCTGTGAAAATAACTGAGTGGGGTCGTTTGTTTTTGTTTAAGCTTGTCTCCGTTTGTTTACACTGTGCACAAGCATTCATCAGAAAGCCACAAATTGGTTTTGTGGTCCAATTATTTTGTCAGTGTTTCAAACTTATGTTCACTTTCCTGAATGGCTCATGCTTGCAGTCTGCTTGACGAAATGGCTTAACTTTCCATTTTAAAAGATGCGTCCACACCAAGTTCCCTTTCACCCATCACGTCCCTGTGCTCAGTGGCCCATGCCTGGATTTTACAATTGTCCTCCCTGTTCCTCCATGGCCTCATCTCTCCTTATTCCTGTTTTCTCTACCAGCTCCTCTCAGATCCCTGTGCTCGTCTATTTCTTGTGTTTGGATATTTCAATTATCCTACCTGTTGCTTTAAGTGCCTCCTCCACATTCTCTGCTAAACTCATCCACTGCACTACTTTCTCCTCCTTTAAAATGCTGTTTAAAATAACATTTGTGTCACACAAATGCCAGGCAAGACCATCTCCACTAAGAAAAAAATCTAACACCATTCCTTGATTTTCAATGGTGTTACCATCGCTGAATCTCTCAAACATCTTGGGAATTATCGTTGACCAGAAATTCAGCTGGACTCACCACATAAACACAGTGGCTACAAGAGCAGGCCAGAGGCTCGGAATACTGTGGTGAGTAACTCACCTCCTGACTCCCCAAAGCCTGTCCACCATCTACAAGGCACAAGTCAGGAGTGTGATGGAATACTTCCCACTTGCCTGGATGGGGACAGCCCCAACAACACTCAAGAAGCTTGACACCATCCAGGACAAAGCAGCCGCTTGATTGGCACCACATCCACAAACATCCCACTCCGTCCACCACCGACGCTCAGTAGGAGCAGTGTGTACTATCTACAAGATGCATTGCAGAAATTCACCAAAGATCCTCAGACAGCACTTTCCAAACCCATGACCACTTCCATCTAGAAGGACGAGGGCAGCAGATACATGGGAACACCACCCCCTGCAAGTTCCCTCCAAGCCACTCACCATCCTGACTTGGAAATATATTGCCATTCCTTCACTGTCGCTGGGTCAGAATCTCTCCCTCAGGGCATTGTGGGTCTACCTTCAGCAGGTGGACTGCAGCGGTTCAAGAAGGCAGTTCACCACCACCTTCTCATTGGCTGGCCCAGCCAATGACACCCCCATGTCCTACAAGTAAATAAAAAACACTTCTCCTCTTTGATCAAACGATCAGCTGTCTCTCCTCATGTCTTCATTGTTGAATCTGTTTGTATTTTGTTACCTGATTAGGCTCATGTGAAGAGCCTTGAGGTGACTATGTAGAAGGTGATATGTACTTAACTTGGAATAGTAGTAATGATGGATCAGCTGAGTGGGGAGCTGTTTGTAACCTGTGTGAACATCTCTCTGCCCTGCAGGTACACCCCATCATCTCGACAAACAAGCCATGAGGAAGGCAAAGAATGGCTTCGCTCTCACTCAACTGGAGGCCTGCAAGACACAGTCAGCCAATCACCCCTGCCCTCACCGTCTGCCATCTCATCCCCTTGCAGTGGCACATATCACTTCACACATTTAGGTCAGTGAAAACGTTCAATTACTCCCCAACACAGCCTCTCTTTCTGTTTTATTATGGACAGACTGGGCTCATTTCCACTGCAGTGTAAAAGAATGAGGATTGGTTTGGTTGAGGAGTACAAGATCCTGAATGGTCTTGACAAGGTGGATGTGGAAAGGATGGTTTCTCTTGGTGGATCAGCCCAGAACCAGAGGCTTCTGAAGAACAGTCCTATTGGACTTGGAATATTAACTCTGTTTCTCTCCCCACAGATGCTGCAGACCTGCTGAGTTTCTCCAGCACTTTCTGTTTTTACTTTTGCACTAGAAGACATTGTGTTAAAATTAAGGACAGAGTTGAGGAGTTTTGTTTTTCTCTCTCAGGGGGCTGTGTGACTCTGGAATTTTCTGATTAAGTGGAGGAGTGGGTGTCATTGAACGTTTTTAAAGGGGAGATGGATTGGTTTTTGTTGGGCAGTGTCTCCGGCATTGTTAGGGTAGATGGGAATGTGGAATTTAGAACAGAAACAGATCAGCCATGATCTTATGGAACAGCACTGATGTCTCAAGGGGCTGATTGGCCACTTTTTGCTCCTATTTCAGATACAGTCATTGGACAGAGACTGATTGGCAGTTGTGTAAAATATGCATTGGAAAGCCAATTTTGACATTTGTCCCCTGACATTGCTGGAAGTAACAACGAGAGATATGACCCAACCTCTGAACGCAGCATCATTCACTTTATACTGACATGAAGAGCAGGTCACACTCCACTGCACTTTGAGAGAGGATTGCTGTCACTGTACAGTTACAGGTAATGGAGATCAAAGAATCAACTCAATTCCTATAGCAATCTCCAAGCCCTCTCCCTTTAGAATGCAAATTGACAGCAGGGAAAATGCTAGAGAGATTGTTTCTAAGGACTGTCCCTCAACAATTTTCAAATTGCATTAATTCAAGGTAAAGCTCAATTTGTACTATGTCTCAATAATTAATGTTTTTGTTATTAACTTAAATGCAGTGAGGAATTCTGCCTGAGGCTTTGACCTACAAAAAAAGTGAAGGCTTAAGGTTGAAGAGAGAGAGGGCCTGTCGATTATGAAGAAGATTTTGAAGTTAAATCTGGAGATGATGTTTCCATTTGTGGTGGAATTCAAAACTAGAATCTTTCAATATTCGACACTCTCTATAAATACCAATTGGGAATGTATTTACACAGACAATTGAGAAACTCAGCACCACAGAGAACGGTGGAGGTGAATGACTGAATAAAAAGTGGAGGGAAAAAGCTGGGTGGAAGGAGGCTCAGGGAGAGGATAGACACAGATGGGCTGAACTGCCAGTTTCCCATCTCTGAACTGGATATAATTCTAATTCTCGGGGAATGGTCAATGAATGGTAGGACACTAGGAAGCTCAGAGGAACAGAGGGAATTTGATGTGCTCATCCACAGATCTGTGTAGGTGGCAGGGCAGGTTAATATAGTGGATAAGGCAGCATACGGGACAATTGCCTTTATCAGTTGTGAGATCGATTACAAGAGCAGGGAGGTGATGTTGGAGCTGTACAGCACTTTGGTGAGGCCACAGCTGGAGCACTGTGCAGTTCTGGTCCCCGCACTGTAGAAAGGATGTGATTGCACTGGAGGGGATGCAGAGGGAGATTCATCACGATGTTGCCTGGAATGGATTATTTCATCGATGGAGAGAGGCTGGATAAACTTGTGTCGTTCTCTTTGAAACACAGAAGCTTGAGGGGGTGACCTGATAGAGGTGTGTAAGATTATGAATGGCATGGACAGACTGGATAGAAAGCAGTTGTTTCCCTTTGTTGAAGGGTCAATAACGAAGGGGCATCATTTTAAAGTGAAAGAGAGGAGGTTTAGTAGGGATTTGAGGAAATGTTGTTGCACCCAGAGGGTGGTGGGAATCTGGAACTCACTGCCTGTAAGGCTGGTAGAGGCAGAAACCCTCATCACATTGAAGAAGGATTTAGCCATGCACTTGTGATGTCAAGGCGCACAAAGCTATGGGCCAAGTGCTGGAAAATGGGATTAGAAGAGTGAGGTGTTTTGGACTGATGCAGATTCGATGGGCTGAAGGGCCTTTTGCAGTACAATAGATCTCGATGACTGTATGAATGGCTACTCCTGCAGCAGCTGTAAGTGAAGTCCAGTATGAGACCAGTAAGGGCAGGTCGATAATGTTACTGGTACCAGCTCACTTATGGGTACATAAAGAAAGAGAAGATGGGGCTAGAGGCGGTTGGAATGGCAATAGCAGAATTGTCACCAACAGCTGCTCACTTTATAAAAGTGGGATGGGGTGGCTACACCTGAAGTAGTTGAACACAATGTTCGAGTTTGTAAGGTCAAGAAGTGCTTGCTAATGCTGAATAATTAGAGCTGGATTGGGGCTAATTGGGCTGTTTTGTTTGAAGTATCTTTCATATTAATTCATCAGTAACTCCTGCTGATTTCGTACCTGAGTGGGTCTGAAAGCAGCAGTGAAACTAATCCTGCTTATGATGCAGAGACGGTCAACATTACAGATAATTGAGGTCCAATACAACTCCAACAGCAT